ATTGTAACAATAGGCAGCTCAGGAATGCAGGACTTGTCATGAAAATCTAAAAACATTCCTAAGTTCCCTTAACTTTGGGGAAAAGGTCTCAAGATACGCTCAAATTATTCCCCAGTTTGGGACTTTTTGGGGAAATTGTGGTGGGTTGACCTTGACTGACTTCCAGGTTTACATCGAGCTGTTTCCTCACTCCCCTTCTTCAGCAGGACAAGGGAAGAAAATAGGACAAAAAATGTTTGTGGCTTGAAATAAGGACGGGAGGTGGTCATTCAGCAGTTACCATCATGGTCAAAACAGACTCTCCTTGGAGAAGTTTAATATGACTTATCAGCTGATAACAAGGGCAGTGAAAAAATGCTCCATTAGTTGCCTTTGGGGGAGGTGGAAAGTGATTCAAACCCTGATTAAGCATGAGGGAAATAGATAATTCTTCCTCCAGATTTGGGGGGTTTGTGGTGTGGTGTGTACAGATACCTACAGATACAGTCTCCTTGCACATGAATTCACACATGGACGCAACCTCACGTTTGTTAGCTTGATGCTCACTGACAGAGAGGAGCAAAAGAGCATCCTGTGACTTGCTTTGCATAGGTATTTCATGTACAGCAGTACTGTTAAAAGATACTGATATATATGCAGTGCTACTGTCTGTGCTCTTTTCGCAGAATCAATCAGGTTGGAAAAGACCTCAGAGATTGAGTCCAGCCTGCAACAGAACACCACCCTGTCAACCAGACCATGGCACTGAGTGCCAGGTCCAGTTTGTCCTTTAAATACCTCCAGGGTCAGTGACTCCACAGCCTCTCTGGGCAGCCCATTCTAATGTCTAATCAATCACCCCGTCTGTGAAGAACTTCTTCTTGATGTCCAACCTGAACCTCCCCTTACACAGCTTAAGACTGTGTCCTTCTGTCCTGTCTCTGGTTGCTGGGAGAAGAGGCTGGCCCCACTTGGCTACACCCTCTTTTCAGAGAGCTGTAGAGAGCCACTCCCGAGTCTCCTTTTCTCCAAGCTAAACACCCCCAGCTCCCTTGGCCACTCCTCACAGGACTTGTGCTCCAGACCCTTCACCAGCTCCATTGCCCTTTTCTGTACGTGCTCCAGCACCTCAGTGTCCTTCACGTAGTGAGGGGCTCAGAAGCGGATGCAGTACTGAACTGTGGTCTCACCAGTGCCAAATACAGGGGTTTTGGTGCCAGCTGATGTTGACTTAAAAGGCACTACTGAAACTGCTTAATCTGACCTGAGCATATTTTTGTAATTGTCTTTGTAACTCATCCATCCAAAAATCTGGTTTAGATGAGAAAATGCAAGAATAAGCATCATCTGATTTGTTGTTTTTAGCTTGCAGCAAAGCATTTGAGGACTGAAGCAAAGACTAAATGTAAGTGAAAATTTTCATGTAAGCTTGAAATATGTACTGAAAAAAAAAAAAAAAGAGGTGTAGTGCTGACTTGCATCTCTTTCTAAGTGGGTGATATCAGCCCAATCTAGATGCCGTCAGATACATACCATGTTGCTTTCCACAGTCCAAGAACTCAGTATACTACATGAACTTTGGAAACAGTAGGTGACACTTTTTTGCTTCATTAATGTGCTCTAAAAGTGCAAACAGCTGTGTTCTTTGAAATCTCTAGTTGTAGTCTCAAAACACTTACTGACTTGGAAGTATGAAATAGATCTGTTCATTGGCAGCAGCCTCTGCTGGGATAGAGTTCTTCACTTGGTATCACTTCTGTGTCCTCCTCGTCAGTTAGTCTAAACAGAAGGAAATGCTGAGAGTAGTTGAAGGAGAAGACACAGTGGGTCTTGCAGAAGAAGGGAAGTTGGAGGGGAAAGAGGTAGAATGAATAGTCATGTAATTTGCTTTTAAACCTCAACATGTGACCTCTTAGTCATGAATAGATGCTTGTTGCCTTGGTCCCTAAACAGGCATTTGAGGTTTGAGTCTTTTGTTCTGTATCCAAAGGAAAACTGTTATTAAAGAAAGTCCCTATCTGGTTTAGATGCTCTAGCTAGCCATTTTCTCCTAATTAATTTTAAGGGGTGTTTGATAGAAGAGAGCTTCTTGGCAGCATTCTGGTCTTAATAGCTTCTGCTTCTGAGAAAATGCATTGATTGGCCCTTTTGTTTTTAAAAGATTGCTGTAATTTTCAGTCATTATCTATAAGGAAATCACTAATTTATTAAACCAGCATCATGGATTAAGAATTAAAGACCTGATTCTTTTATCACTTCAACTGGTGTTATGTTGATGTTACCCATGAGGACTTTTAGGAAGACAAAGAGTAAGTGTACGGTGTTCCTGTGGACTCTCAACCCCATGTTTCTAGACCTCATTCATAAGATTAGAACTGATTCTTTTCCTTACTTGTACCAAGAATAAATTGCTTTCTTGGAGTTTGGGTAATGAAAACAGTCCAAAAAAATCTTATGAGATTGTGTCTGAGAAACAGAAACTTAGTGACCATTCCGTATGCAACGTTTAAGTTGCACATTTTATAGGGAAAATATTGCATTTAGTCAAAAGAGAAAATTTCTCTGTGTAGTCCTCACTTTTCAGATAAGTAGAATTTAAGCCGTGTCTCTCACTTGTTCCTTTTGCAAGCAAGTTAGGTTAGATGCCTTGAATGGTACTGCTTAAGTAGATTTAGTTTGCCTTAAAGTAGCTCTCTGAAGCATTACTGAATTGAAGTTTGATGGCTGAAGGAGGAAAGTGAGGAATTAATTACTTTCAGATATTCCATTGTAGCTTAATAAAATTGTAAGGCAATAATTATGTTTTATCAGGATTATCTCATATTTGCTTATTTTACTTCTGTGAAGTTTTATTTTAAAGACCCAGCAGGAAGTAAATGATTCATACAAACATAACATTTTAATAAAGTTTGACATCTGATAATACTAAAAGGTAACAAAAATAACGATTACTGTATTAGTTGGTGGACAAAAAGACTGATAATTTTTTTTACAAAGTCTGTCTATCAGCTCTTACTGCAGTAGATTTTTGTTGATTATATCAAATAGTGAGTTTTCAGGTCTTCACTAAATAAACAGTGCTCCAGTCTTTATTTGTGGCTGCTGGTTTTATGTTTTATCTTATGCCTTACTGATCTCTGGTAGTTATGTTAGTGTGATTCTGTGGACTAGAATTAAACAGGCAGATTAGCACAAAAAAACCCTTCTGATCAGTTTTAACCAAGGACAGTAGGATAAACCCAGTCAGCAGGGTTTTGAACACTATAGAGTCTTTGAAACCATCCACTTGCAGGTAGCTGGTGGCTTCTATTCTGACTTTTTTAAATAAGGTTTCTGCCTTTTTAATTGTTTGGCTTTGTCTTCAGAGTGTTCAGTGAAAGGGCTGGAGAAGAAACACAGCAGTGATTCCTACTAGACAACATTTCTCATTCTGCTTAGCCTTCAAAAACAAAGCCTTTGGTCAAAACCCAAGCTAGTAAATTATCTGCCACCCTAAGAATCTTTAATAGGAAGGTTTGTTAAAGCTGGAAAAGCTTTTTGCAAGTATCATGACAGTGGTTACTACAATGAATAGAGGCCTGTTCTGCCATTCTGAGCTACAGCTGGTGTCAGCTTTGGTACTGAATAGTACAGCAAGATAAAGGGAACAAAAGGGCACATTTTGCCTGCTAATAATAGGCTTGGGACTGCCATACACTCTTTATATAAATTATACAACAGTACTGATTCTCTTTCTTAAATTTTTCCTCATCTTCCTTGTGGTTGAAAAACTGGCTAAATAACTTCCGAAGACTGCAGCAATTCTTGTGCTCTTTGCTGTGGTAAGCAGAGTCCGCAAAGGGCAGTGAAACAAATGTTTCAGGACACTGATCTAGACGTAGTGCCTCACATAATGGGGTCTCATATAAACTAAAAGGATAGGCGTAAAGATTTTTTTCATCAGTTAATTCCCTGGGCTGCTGACAGCTGCTGTTTTGTTATTGCATGTGACTGGCACATTCAGAAATACTGTCTCAGGGCTTCCTCCCTGGGAAAACTCTTCCACGCCTCAGAGGGGGGAAACAATGGAGGAGTGGAACAGGATGGCAGAAGTACCTCCTGTCTAACTGAATTCAGAATACTGGGGGTTGTGTTTACTGAGAGATGTGTCTTCATTCTAGCAGTGATGGTAAAGATGGTAGGGAGAGGTCAGTACAATATGTGATAATTTGATAAGAATACTCTGCAGAGGACAGTTCCTCTGAATGCTCAATTGCTAAGGTTGGACTGGACCTTTCCAAAATTACACAAACATTTCATAAGTAACCTTAGAGTTGATTCCTTTCTGGAAACGCTGCTGGGTCACGGGTTAGTACTGTTATTGAGGTTTCATTTCTGGGTTTATGGATTACAACTGACAGAATCAGTGTCAAGGAATAATTGAACAAATTGTACGTATTGTACATAGCCAAGCTTTTATTCTTTTGCCAAAATCAACTGTTATTTGAGTATGAGAGGGGAAGAGGACAATAAATCTAAAATTAGGAGGCTGCTGCTACCATGGTTTGGGGACCATGGCTGGTATGGGTTGTAGAGAAAAGCTTATCTCCTAACCAAGCTCTAAATCTTGTGTTTGCTTTGGAGCTGCTCTTGAAGATTACAGAGGTGACAGTGTATGTCTTATGAAGTACAGACAATTCAAGTAAAAATGTAAGTTCATATCAAACTTCAAACCAAAATATTTGCTCATATTTTTTCAATGAAGACCTTATAAAAGAGTAATGTAGTCCATGGAGTGAATTCATATGCTCACAGGTTTTGTAGAGTTGAGACTGAAATTCAAAAATTTGTTTCCAAAGCCAAATGTAAATTGATTCACAAATACAGTATTCTCTTTTGGTTGTTACTTTTGCAAAGACTGACCTCAGGCCTTTTCCTACAGTACATTTAACTTTAATTAAAGTGTAAGCATGAAGTCTGTTTTAAGTCTGTCTATAGAAACAAGTGCACTCTGTAACTGCTGATACTATTTGGTTTTGCAGGTTGTCTTCTGAATTTTGTGTCTGAAGGTACCCTCTTGCTTTCTCAGCAAATCATGGACATCGTTGGCTTTCTGAAGTCGCAATTCATTTGCCACCTTCTGATCTGCTACATATTTATAGTGTCAGGACTGATCATTAACTTCATTCAACTCTTTACACTTATACTTTGGCCAATCAACAAGCAACTGTTCAGGAAGATCAACTGCAGGCTGGCTTACTGCATTTCAAGCCGTAAGATCCCTTTTTTTTTTTTTTTTTTTTTTTTTTAAGTATTTTCGTATTTTGTCTTTAGGGAATTGATAGAAAAGTTCTGGATTTCAAAGCCTGTATAAAGGTCATGTCTGCTTCCTACAGCACCTGCACTTGTTTGAAGAGATGTTTGCCTTGTTGAAATGTCTTCTTGTGCTGAAATGTTTTGCTCTGTTATAGTGGGATAATTGCTTGACTATGTATGTTGAAATAAGATTGCCTATCATTTGGCTATCCATCATGTTTCATTAAACTAAATGAGAAATATTGACCAAAAAATGCACCTCAGCAAGTTCAGCTGTTATCTGTAAGGTTTACATTGTTAACAAGTCACTTCCAATAATGCTTTCAATCTTTTTATCAGCCATGATTTTGTTTATGATCTTGGTATAAAAGTTTGATGTGCAAATTCTGTTCAGGACTGGCAAATAACAAGAAAAAAGGAAGAATCTTTGATTTCATGCGCTTCTTTCTGAAGCCGATTATAAACAGTTTTTTCTTTGAATAGTATTTCAGGTGTTAAGCTGCATCTGTATGTATTTAGTATATGGATGTAGTTATAATTCAGAATACAGCAGGTAGCCTGTAACCAGTTGAAAGAAGCAGAGATTGCAATGATACTGATTTTTCAGGGGGAGATGAGGGCATGAGCTCAGGATATTGTAGATAGACCAGACCTTTGAAACTTCTGAGAGATGTGACAGTTGACTGGAACTCGACAAAACAGGCAATTCCAGTGCAGTGAGGGAGAGCTATACCCATTTGTTTGTTCTCTATTAGTTGGAGTTTGGTGGAATCTTCACCTGACAACAGTGAATTATCAGAGCATGTGCAGTTTTCTTGTTATAATCAGTTTGCTGATATATTTGCTTTTAAAGAGCTACAACTGCAGTTTCAGCGTTTTATTGTACTGCTGCTTCTGACTTCCACGCAACTGAATTAACTTACAGCAGAGAGAATTCTTCACAGAAACTGTTACAGAAATGCTAATGTACCCACGTTCAGTATTTAGGTGTGCTGTTAAATATGTCTGCCTTCCAGAGAGATTTCCCTGGGCCTTTCTGAAACTTAGAAGTACTTTCTTAGAAGGAAACTAAAATGCATGCAAAGTGCATGCTTTTTGTTCCTACCTAAAGATGATTCAAGTGCAATGTTGCTGTCAATGCTAAGTGACTTGCAGATGTTTTCATACTGGAGAAAACAGCCCTCCCAATACAGCATTTAACAATTGTGCTGTAGAAATGCAGCAAAATGGTTTCTTTCAAGTAACCTTTTCTGATACTAGGAACCTGAAATGGAAAAACATTATTAGTATTCAAAATAAACTGTGTGAGGTAGAAATCTGTCACGTGCCTCAACTTGGGGGCCACCAGGGTTTATTTATCTTTCATCAGTGACTCTGATGAGCCACTATTCGAAGCTTTTTTTAAAACATACTTTTGACTTAAATTTCAAACACGTCAAAGTGTATAGGCCCAAATAAATTTGGGATGCTGTTTTATTATTTCTGCAATGGAGAGATGATGTTCTTTCTGAAAAACATCATTTTTGCAGTCTGTATGTCCCTGAAGAAGTGAGTTTGCAAGTACTGTTCATTTGTATGTACAAACAGTGGCATTGAATATAGCCAGGTTTTTATCTTTTGCCTGGCAGTATAGCATATGTTTGAAGCCATGGCATGTAGAAGATACTGTACAGCTATATGTAGGTATATATTACTATTTTTCATGCAATGCCTTCTGGCCCATTCTTGCATTTGGCTACTTAGTGCAGTGGGGGATGGACAGTATGGGAGAGGGAGTAATCCTGCCTCCTTGTCCTTCGTGGGGCAGATGGCTTTGAACTCAGGGTTGCTGATCTAGTCTTCAGTGTTGATGCCACTGGAATAGATTGCGTTGTGAGGTTTTTGCCCAGTCATACTCAGAGCAAACTATGTCTAGGTTAAAGCCATTTATTTTAGCTTTACAACAGAGCAAGCTAGCATTTGATGAGTCACTCTTATCTGAGTGATATTTGGAAAGGGGAAAATGATAGTTAATTTTAAAAAATATTTCAAAGAACTAAAGACCAATTAATCAAAATGGATGTGTTTTTGGGGGCTACTGATGTGGTGACTAATAAGTCAGGTCTGTATGGGTCTGATGAAAGTCATGGAAACAGCCTACAGTTGGAGACAATGAGGTTCAGCATTGGAGAATATAAAGAGGCATGTGCTTTCGCAGTGGTGACAAACATCACGTTACCTTGAGAGCCTGATACAGCCTGAGTCACCAGGTCAACCAAAGAGTGAAATAGAGCAGGCATGGTTTAATTGAAAAATGGAATGAAAGCAGCAGTTATCCTTAGATCCTGCAAGTTCAGTTGTTTTCCATTTGATGTCAAAGGTAGAGATAAATGGCTTCATGAAATTGGAGAGTTATTTTGTCTTTGATGCTGTGCCCTTCAGGCAAGTTGGGGGTTTTTGTATTTCAAGTAGCAGTATTTTTTTATACCCTTTTTCTTCCTTTCTTCTTCCTATATAAGAACGTAATATTCTCACTTGTCGTGCACTGTCTGCTGTCATAATGCATATGGGAAGCTAAAGTGCTGTTGTGATTAATGACTTGTCCTCGCTTGAGTTGGAGTGCTTCTCTGTTCACATGGATCAAATCAGACTAGCTCAGGTTAAAGTATTCACAGAATCATGGAATCATTAAGGTTGGAAAAGACCCTTATGACTGAGTCCAGTTGTCAGCTCAGCACTACCAAATGCACCAGTAAACCATGTCCCTAAGAGCCACATCTACACATCTTCTAAATCTCTGCAAGGATGATGACTCAGGGCAGCCTGTTCCAGTGCTTGATGACCCTTTCCATGAAGAAAGCTTCCCATATATCCATCCAATCTAAATCTTTCTGGGTGCAATTTGAATCCATTTCCTCTTGTCTTGTCACCTTTTACTTGGGAAAAGAGGCCAACCCCCACTTCGCTACAGCGTGCTTTCAGGTAGCTGTAGTGAATGATAAGGTCTCCCCTGATGCTCCTTTTCTCCCTCAGTTGCTCCTCATAAGACTTGTGCCCCAGACCCTTCAGCAGCTTCTTGCCATGAGCTGTCTGCATGGAGTAACTGTGGTGTGCTGGTCGAGCACAGGTAGCTGTGTGAAGCTGCTGCTTCTCTGCCATGAGTTTGGCACCTGCACTGCAGCTTCTCACTGTAAGTACTGACAGCCCAGAAGGCTGAAGCCACAGACATCAAACTTGTCATCAGTGCAAGTTAGAGAAGAGCTGAGAACCTGGTTTCCAGTTTGAAGTGACTGTCAGAAGGATTAACTAGAGCAACAACTTGCTTTTAATGAAACAGAACAGGTGTAATGGCACATACCAAGTTGCCTTCAGCAATTGATGATAAGTTATTGCCTTTCTTGAAACCAATTGTGAGTCAACAGGGTGAGAGCTTAGCTTTTCTGTTGACCTGGTCCAATATGTAATACCATTGGGGATGCTTTCCAAGGGGTGTGTTATCCATTCTCCATATTGCAGTTTGGGTTGCTTTTATATCTCCAAGATACTTTTCATACTTTACGATTAATAAACTCTTCCTTGACCCTTCACTGAAGAGTGTTGTTGCAAAGAGTGGACATCCAGCTTCAAAAGAGCAAACTTTTGTCTGTGCTGGCATTGAAATGAGCCACAGGATTGGTAAGGGTTATGCACCCTCTTTCATGTTTAAACAAACAAACCAAAAAAACCCCAAAACAAAAAAACAACAAAAGAAACCACACACACAAGAACCAACAACCCTCCGAAAACAAAAACAAGACACCAAAAATCTTTAGGCTTCGAACTTACAGAAAATATTTTCTGGCTTCAAATACATAGTCATGGATTGGTTCAATTGCCTGTTAATCCACCCCTCATTTCTATAAAATGACAACCCAGATCAAGTCCTTCATGCTGCAATCAACATCATGCACCCTAAAAACGAAGTTGAGCACTGCAAACCTCAATAGGGTGATAATAATAAAAATTTCAAATATAAGTATGCTTGAAAGTTGACACAAGAGCAAAGAGTGGGTAAGCAATCAATCTTGGGTTTTATTTTTAAATAATTTAGGAACATTTTGTCCTCAGTTTCTTTTTCTAAAAGACAGAGAACCAAGGTAGGAAGCACTTGGTGTGGAGTACATCCCAGTTCTCCTAGATGCTGTTTGTGCCTGAATTGGAAGAGGTGGGAATACACCTTACTCCTCCCTCTTACATGACAGCAAACTGCCACAAGGGGTACACACAGCTATTCCGCAGTAGCTTGTGAAATTGGCTAGACGCATAGAGGGAACAGGTTGTCTTGGGTTTGTGCGTGCACATGGCTGCAGAGTTTGCTGGGCAAAGTTTGTACTTCCCAAATCAGTTTGTGCTTGCTTGGCTGTGGAAATGCAGCCCCAGGTCAAGCAGAATGTGCTGGGCTCCTGTGGACTGTTCAGGACATGTGCCTAGACTGTGCCCTGAGACATACACATACAGGATACATGGCTTCTTTAGAGGTGCTGAGGGGGAGATATTTGTCTGTGAGTAGAGCAATTGTTACCTTCTTGCTCTTGGAAATGAGCTTCTTGTGCTCCCAGGGTGAGTGGCAAACTGGCCTCCTGCTGACTGTGCACCAGGTGAACGCTGTTTAAACAAAAGACCTGGCAGTAATGACATGGTCATATGGATAGGTGTGCAAGGGCTTTAAAAGCAATCAACTTAGCTTCTAATCTGCCTTCATAAATAAATTGTAGCAGTACTAATACCTATTGTTGTGCCATGAAAGGGGTGTTATTACACCTCTGGGTAAAGTTACACTATGTAGGCTGCAGTTTGTGGATCCTGCTGAGGGGAAGACCCTTGTTTGTATAGAACGAGGTACCCTGATGCCTGTTCATCGACTGCAGCAAAAACAAGACGGAAACTAATTCTTTTTTTGACTGAGCTTCCTAGAAACAAAACGAGGAAATTGAGAACT